ATAGCATACCTTATATATATATATATATATATATATATATATATTGCTTTTCACCCCAATAAAGGCGGAAGTACCACTAGTACGCAAGTAGCTACAGAGAGTGTAAGTAAGAGAAAAAGGCTTGGTATAGGTGCGGAGTTGAGGAAAGGATAAAAAGAACAGGGGAGGATAAAAAGAAGAATTGGGATAAAAAGAAGATGTTGATTGACATTGCATTTAAATTTTTGAAGATTATTATTATCAGGGAAGCAAGTAAGAGGAATGGAGTTCCACTGTCGAGCAATGCGAGAGAAGAAGCTGTTGGAGTAGAAGAGACTGTTACATTTAACTGTGTCGACAGTAAAAGGGTGGGGCCGAGATGCCAATCTTGTAGCTCGCTTAAATTCATGCAGTCGGGGCACTAGTGAAAATAGCTCGTCAGAGCAGATGCCATGGAAATATTTATAGAAAAGTCAGAGGGAAGCCGCATTACGACGGTGAGAAAGTGACTCGAGCCGAGACCCTTGTCAGGACCGATGACATTGCATATCCGTCGAGATGAACAGCGGGGGTACCAGACCATATATAGCAACAGTATTCCATGCATGGACGAATGGTAGATTTGTAGATGTGAAGGATGAACCCAGACGAGAAAAACCTTCTAGCGAGACACAGAGAACCAATTTTCCTTGCGGTAGATGCAGCTATTGATTCAATGTTGTTGTTTCAACTCATCAGTGCAAAACGTGAGAACAAGAAGGCGTAGTGAGGCTCCCGTGGAGTTGAGCATCAATCATGCTCATAGGAGACAGGGAAGTTTCTCTTTGGTGTGTAAATGACAGCAGTTTCATTTTGGATCCATTAAAATTCACAAATTCCTGCCCCAGTCAACCACAAATTTGAGGTCGTTTTTGAGACCAACGGCCAGGTTAACTTAGTCAGCAACAACGGATTTACCATTGAGACAGGAGTAAATGGTAGTGTTGTCTGCGTTAAATGCCTACTTGAGAACTGATGACGCCAGGAAGATCATTGATGAAGATCAGAAACAGTGTAGGAGCAAGGATAGAGCCCTGAGGAAAACCAGAGTTCGTATGGACGGAACTGGAAGAGAACCCATTCAGAACAAGATTCATTTCACGGTTGGACAGAAATGATTGGATTAAATCAAATAATCGTCCTGTAATGCCGTATCCCCGAACCTTACGTAGAAGACCTCCAAGTCAAACCCTGACAAACGCCTTCGTTATATCTAGAGCAACAGCTCGAGCTTCGCTGTCATTATCAAGAGCTTGGTATATATATTCAGTTATGGCCGTAAACACATCAGCAGTAGACTGGGCAAAGCGGAAACCATATTGTTTGTCAGAGAGGAGATCGTGGGAAGTGAGATATTTAACCACTTCGGCATTGATTAAAGTCTCGAAGACTTTACCGAAGACTTGTAGGAGATTGACGGGGCGGTAGTTAGATGGGTCAGAAGGGTCACCAGAGTTCTTAAAAAGGACTTCCAACAAGCTGGAAAGCAAGAATCGACGAGGCAATGGTTGTATAGTTTGAAGAGAACTCCAGCCAGTTCAGGGGCACTACGGCTGGTATCTCGTTTTACGGGAGTCTAATTTAGAGATGATGTCTAATACCATTAACTGGCCTATGCACATCCGACTCAGTAAAGCCTCAGTAAAGGGGAAATCTGGTGTGGGTACCTCGAATGAGCCGTGTGTTGAGAATTTCCGGCCTTAAGACATCGAATTTATTGATTAGAGTAGTGATTGAAGATTTAGAGTCAAACTTGCATTATTCGGACTATTGTCCCACTCTTTGTTGCCATATTTATCACAACGTTTTAGTCGTTGCACGCTCCGGCCTACAACTGAACCCTTTATTTCGCTCACTGGGATAGACTGTTCTAGTTCCACGTGCCATGTTTTAATGGCTGTCAGTTATCAGTTATCTCCAGTTAATTCCCCTCTCCAAGTTCTCCACTGCCTTAATCGGGTATTGAACTCACACTCTTTGTGTCCTGTTACTGGATCAAACTAACGCCTTTATCCACTGTGCCATGTGAGGACATCTGTGCATGAATTTCTGGGTATTACAAACCTAATGTCTTCAGCCATGATTTTTTTTTACCAGTGCTCAAATTGTAATTTTTTGCTGTAATTATTGCATTTTCTTTTTTTTTTTTTTTTTTTAGATCCAGTGACAGTATATATATTTGAATATAATATACAGTGTACAGTGAGTGCTGGGAGTAAAAACAGTTTCATATAAAATGACAAAGGTATATATTTAAAAAAATATATCGTTGTTCCTTATTGAACAATGTTCGTCAATGTGTCATCCGCGAGGCAATCACGTGACATAATTCTCATTCTGATGATTTCTTCGCGCAAGAAACTTTGACTAGTGTCATGCGATAAGAAACAACGATATATATATATATATATATATATATATATATATATATATATATATATATATTTAGTTTTAAAGTGTGGTATATTTATGGGATAAAGTGCTAAATATAAGAGTAAATATATGTAAATATATATATGTGTGTATATGTAAATACAAAGTGAACATTAAAGTCAGCACTGAGAGGCGACATACAGGTTTCATGCTAGACGCAATCGTCAGGCCACGTTGATTCAATGTTTATATATATATATATATATATATATATATATATATATATATATGTGTGTGTGTGTGTGTGTATAAAATGTGTATGTGTATAAATGACTATATATATATATATATGCAATTTTTATATATATTATTTATATATATGCGCGGTACTTATTAGAAAGCGCTCAATATCAGTGATAGAGCTAACATGCTTAGTTGGATTGATGTGAGTTTGTGACCTTGGGTTTTACGCTCTTTATTTGCCTGACGATCGCAAAGAACGTAAAACTCAGGGTTACAAACTGACATCAATCCAACCATATATATATATATATATATATATATATATCTTTGTTAATCCTCTTCTTCTCCTCCCAGCTATGGGAAAATAACAGGACAGACTGGGTTCTATAGCCTTGGATGGCAACTGGTCCAGGAAAAGGACAACTCTGAATTCAAAATCTGTATTTGGCCCTTCAAAAAGTGTGGTTGGTTCTGCACAAAGTCTTCACTATAATCTAATATGTGTCAGTGCCTGGGTTGTCGGTTCTTAGGAACTGATCTGCTTGACTCTCCTACGTCGAATGCGATAAAGCCTCTAAGAAGAATCTTATTAAGATGACTATTGACTTTACATTTAAATTTTGAAGATCAAATTTGTAGTGCGAGAGTTTAGGGTTTAGGTTCGGTTACATATCGCAATTTCAACAATAAAATGATGAGACCTATATATATATATATATATATATATATATATATATATATATATATATATGTATATAAGAATATTACACCGGAAGTTATGTCAAAACCGCTACACAATTGCAGTTGTGTTTCAATGCGTATCAATGCATCTCATCAAGCGATTGTAAATTACTGGCAAGTGAACGTTTTATTTAGATTTAAAAGCAAAATGCAACTTCTTTTTATGGAGAAAAGAAAAGTAGGTTATAAAGTTTGTAGGCTTTACTCTGATTAACCAATCAAATATGACCTACGTTAAATTTAAACTAAGCGAAGAAGAAAAAATTAAAAAAAATGTTCTTTATAAATGTGTTATGACCCGTAGATTGAACTAAAATGGATGCAAATGGTTACATAAAGTATACAAACTAGAAAATGCTGTTTCCTATGAAGAGATGGAGAGGTAATTTAGCAAAATGCTAAACAAGTTATATGCTTTGTGAATTTCCTACATAAAATTTTTTTTATAGTTGATAAATAAATAGCTTCATTAAGAAACTAGTAAATAATTCAAACGTTTAGAAATATTTGGTAAATTAATGTGCTACCGTTGAATAAAGATTCTTCATATAAGATGTTAAAAACACTAACCAATCAATGTAAAAGGTCTTCTTACCTGTACACACACACACACATACAAACACACACACACAAACATATATATATATATATATGTATGAAATGGGTTAAGTCCGATAATTATTTAATATATTTTCTGTTTCTATAAAAATAACGTATAAACAGAAAATATATCAATATATATATATATATATATATATATATATATATATATATATATATATATATATATATATAACGTATAAACAGAAAAAATATATCAATATATATATATGTGTGTGTGTGTGCGTGTATGTGTGTCTGTGTGTGTGTGGGGAACATGTATGACAAAAGTAGAAAAAGTAAATTCAGACCGGTGATATCCTGATGGACGAAACACGTCACGCGAGACTTTTTTCCAAATTGTCATACATTTTTCCAGCAATAAAATTTATATATCATTATCTCATATATATATATAATATATATTCGCTAGCAACGATTCTTTTAAGCATGTTATTTAATCAGACATGCCTAAAGAGAATTTGCTGCCTAAATACAATATATATATATATATATATATATATATATATATATATATATATATATATATATATATATATATATGTATTTATGGCCAGCAACGATTCTTTTAAGCATGTTTCGTTGACAGACAAGGAAAGAAATTGATGAATTATTTAGTTTTTTCAACATGGACGCGTTTCGTCCGTTAGGACATCATAGGTCAAAATTTATCGCACGAATACTTTTTCTACTTTGTCATACATGTTCCTCCCAATACACACACACACACACACACACACACACATATATATATATATTTGTAAAGACTAACCGCCTTAAAAATCATTAAAGAAGTGTCCAAAAGTATTTATAACAATGGAGAAATCGAACAATTTTTGCACGTTGCCACTCGTACGAAACGGGAATTATGTAAGAATTTTGGAAGCCTAAATAAAAAATTCATCAAACTTTCCTTGTCTGTCGAAATATTTATATGTGTATATGCATATATGTGTGTGTTTGTGCGCGCGCTTTTGTGTGCGTTATATGTGATTCAACTTTTGTCACTGATAGTAAGTATCTGTGACACTCAGATTTGGTCGTTGTGACAAGGATACGTTGGGATCTGTTAACGAATAAACATGAGCCTTCGTTCGTGGTTCCTCCATGAGTGTCACCTGCAAATCAACTAACAATGTCACGCAGATCTCTCTGAATTTATGATTACAATATCCATAAATAAAAGGGTTAAAAGCATTAGCTAGAAAATAAGAACGTAATCCAACGTTGACCAAGATTTCCGTCCTGGGTGTGTGCGGCTCAAACCCGGTAAGCGCCCGCAAAAGCTGAATCATGGAACACGGTATGTAGCTGATTATGAATAAAACCGTGACCAAAAAGAACGTCTTGGTCGTCTTTTCGCTTCTCATTTTCCGGTCTTGCTCACGATTGATGTCGGCCATTGTTTTCACAACCGTTTTTCCTTTGAGATTTCTTTTGCCAAGTCGTCGTTTAACTGTTAAGCCGATCATCGTGTAGGTGGCAACTATGATGATCAAAGATAATCCGATCATCCCCGATAGATATGTGAAGTAAATGAGCGGCCATTTTGTCTTTTTGTACACGTCGCTGATGGCACAGTCGCAGGTATTTATATAAGGCACATCCGTAGACTCCGTGTCGATTCCAGCAAGTTCGATTATCGGACCGACCGCTACGGCTGCAACAATGGTGACCAGAACGATGACTACCTTCGCCCAAACCGCCTGCATTTGAGCCCTCCCCAAACACACGCGCTGAAATCGGTCAAGGGCGATTATGACGAGAGTAAAGCATGACCCACCCGACGAGAAAAAGGAAATGAAACGCAGGACTTTGCAACCGAATTCCCAGCTGAACATCAATGGTAGTTGGTCGTCAACGATTTCGGTCGGCATGCCGATGGCGCAGTTGATGATGTCGAAGGTGGACAGAGCCAGGATGAAGGAGTTGGTGGACGAACTTCGAAACCGCTTGCCGTACACGTAAAGAACCAAAGAATTGCCGATCATACCGACCACCATCAGGATGGCCATGTAAATGGTGGAAGCAGAAGCAAAGCTCGCCTTTTTCGCATTTAATTCTTCCAAAGTGTAAATACGTGAATTATTGTCGTGAAAGAACAGCATTTTTGCCGCGTCTGTTCAAAAAAGTTATTAGTATTCTGGAAATCGAGAATATCTCTCTCGCTATATATATATTTTACAAATTCAGTTTTAGCGCTGAAAAAATTTTTTTTTTATTGTGATGGATTTTTTGGATGGATGAAGCGTTTATTTATATATATTTATTAATTTTTATAACTTTTTAGAGTAATGTAATTATCTCCCTTGTGCTGGTGACGTCATGTGCCAGAGCCTTTTGTTATGAAAATGGCGAGCTGTTTTAAGATGTTTACGAAACCGCGTTGTGAGAAGATAGAGCAGAGTGCTACAATAATGACTGAGGAGAAAATGTGAAAAATTTCTTACAATAAATACGGTTTTAAAAAAATTTGTCAATTTTTTTATGGAATGGATAAACTATTTTTGATATGTGAATCGCGTGTGGCGTCACTCAAAACAAAATTTGTTTCATTATGTCGAAAACTGACTTATGTATATTTTGAGGTTACTCAACAAGAGTATTGAATCCGTTCGGGCTTTTGAGAGCATAAGTTATGGTTAAAATCAAAGTGAACACTCTTCTTGTTGGTGACATAATAAAAGGCTCAATTTTAATTTAAAAATTCTTTATAGTTTGCAGCTTAACTTGCCTGCAGTAATGTAGAAGATAAATTTTAAAAATTCACAACAAAAAGTCCGCCATTACCCAAACTGCAAGACGCCTTAAATTAATCTTAAGTAACTAACTTCCGGGTAACCGGAAACGATTTAAAAGTTCTGAAATTATGATAAGGGAAACTAACGCTTAATTTTTCTTTTTTTTATATTTTAAGCGTATTGATCAAGGGAATAAAATCAATCCAGGTTTATGAAGGATTATTTTCGTTTAAGATCATAGATATTCTTTACTTATAAGTGACAGACACTGAAAGACACAGTTTCAGATTTCAAAGATTTTTCAGTTCAGGATTTATTTCAAGTTGACTTTACCAATGTTACAAATTTAGCATTCAGTTGTAATCAGGTGCTTATTCAAGATTAAAATTTTCTTTTTTCTTCTTCCTTTTAGAGATGAGAAAGCTTGAATTACGAGTAGTTTGGACAGAGTCGGCTGTGGTAGAAATTGTCAGTTTGCTCATGCGTGAATACAGCTTTCCAACTGTTGATGAAGAATTGTTTCGTTGAAAGATGATTATTGTGAGCAGATAGTATCTTGAAGCGTTTTCGATTACAGATGTTATGATAGAACAAACCTCGAAAGGATGTGAAGACTTTTTTTTTTGAAAGATCGAATCAGTTATAAAAAGCAGTTTATTATAGCATGTTTTTTTTAAATGTCCGTACAAGGATGTCTGTCATGAGAGGCTTAAGAACTGAATGTAAAAATTCAAGTCGAATTGTGATTACAGTTAAGTACTGTCTCTAATGTTATTCGTGTTTTTGTACGGGTTACTGTCGACGTTAAGGTTTAACTCCTTTTCGTAATAAGGTGTTGACCTCGGATCATTTCGTTAGTTCGGATCAAATTAACCGAACCAGTATTTTGAACAATTGTCAACAATCTCAACACCGCTTTACCGACGTGTGGTTCAATAACGACGGATAAAGAAGACGGACCTTTGCATATGTTTAGTGATTGCCTGAGATGCAGGGGCTTAATAATGGAGACACTAAAATTAAAAAAAAACAAATAGATTACCGCTGATCCTGATGTCTGTCGCCCGAAATTCTAAGATGGATCGCGGAGACTATTATACATTGATTTGATCGGAGCAGTATTTTTTATTTTGTCTTTGTCTTAGTTTGTCGACTGGGCTATCCTTCGTAGAAAATGCTTTCCTCTCCAAGATTTCTTAGACAGTAACCAATTTCAAAGGATTTGATCAACTACGAATTGGACGCATGTAGCAGACAGAGTTACCTGAAAATAGAGGAAGAAAATGTTTGTATATAAAAAGGTGAAACAAAGGCAACGGTTTTCAGTTTTTATATTTATTACAAGCTGAAATAATTGTAAACGCAGGGTAAGAAAATATTTAAATCACAGCTGATTATAATGAAAGAAATGTAATGATGAGCTGATAAACTTTACCAGTATATATATATATGAGTATATATATATATGTAAGCCGAAAGTTTAGATAGGATTTAAACATGTATCAATATGGTGATTTCCTTTCGTCTTTCAATGATAATGTTATTAAGCTTATCAGACAATATGAAAGGAACTTACTTAAAATAAATAGAGAAAACTTGTCTATATTATTTAATGAAACATAGGCACGGTGGAGTAATGGATAGCGGCTTGGATTGAGGAATCGCAGAGCCGAGTTCGAATTCCAGTCGAATCCATTACATTCACTTACGTGTTAATACCCTTGGGAAAGGTGTGAATCCTCTTCTTCTCCCTCCAGCTATGGGTAAATAGCAGGACAGACTGGGTTCTATAGCTTTGGATGGCAACTAGTCTAGGAGAAGTATAACTCTGAATTCAAAACCTGTGGATGGTCGTTTGGGGACCTGTGGCACCCGGTCCTTCAAAAAGTGTGGATTGTTCTGCACGAAACCTTCACCACTATAATCAATTCTCAAGTGCTGTTGTCGGGCTGTCGGTTTCCTGGGAACTGATCTGCTTGACCCTCATACGTCGAATTCGACGGGAGAGTCGACTATATATATATATATATATATATATATATATATATATATATATATAATGGGAGAACTTAAATTTAAAATTTATAGTCGTACAAGGTAAACAAACATAATCCAAAAGGGCGAAACGCGTCACACAAAAACCTTTCTACTTTGTCATACTTCAATTCCCTAAAATCTTTCTCTCTCTCTCTCTCTGTCTATATATATATATATATATATAATTAATACAAGGAAAAGGTTTGTCACTTAGCTGATTAATGTTACCTTAAGCATCCCATCTTCAGAGTTTGGTAGACCCTACAAGAATCACTCCGTCCACTCGTCAGAGCGTATCAGCAATTGACTGCTTATATTTCTCGATTTTTATTTTTTTTTTAATATGCGCTTTGCATTGGTGCAAGTTTTTCTTTTCATTGTGTATGTATGCGTTCATTCGTTCATGTATCTGTAAAAAGGCAATATGAATGAGGACAAAAAAGAAAACTCTTTTTTACCAACGCGTTTCGTCCTCTATCAAGGTAAATGTAAGGATGTTATTTTGCAGCATGTATTTATAAACAGAAGTAAAGATATCGTTTAATTTTTGAAATTGTTTAAATTTAAGTAAACCCCAAAATATTCTTAAGGCTAACTGAGAAAATCAATGTTAAACTATGGAGGACGCTAAGTGATACAATTTAATGTCTAATAAGCGAAAGTGAGTGAATGTTGTTGCTGAATGTGGTTATTTATTTACGTTTTTATATTCATGTGATTGTTAATTACTAACAGTAGAGCCCGGCGTTGCCCGGGGATGTAACAGTAAGAGATAGATCAATTATCGACCATCATAAAGACTGAAAAATAAAATTGACAAAGGTTATTGTTTAAGGTTGACGGACACGCATGTCTTAATTAGTATTTTTTTTGTTTTTGTTTTTGTTTTTTTAGGAATTGGTCAAACCCAAACTCAAACAAAAACATTGTTTTCAATCGTAATGAGTCTACCGATTGAATAGAATTTTATTATAAACAATTGTCTTGTAAATGGAATTTTTAAAGCATTCTGAATGTAAAAATAAAGAAAAAAGCGTGCAAGACAATAAGAAACACAATCTGCCAAAAAAAAAAGAAAAAAAAAGTGAAGTTTTGTTGAAATTGGTTGAAAAATGTAGGAAATCTGATCCCATATATAAACGAACACACACATACACACAAACAACCTGAGTTTTATAATAAGTATAACTCGATATGAGTTGTCCGCCTTTCATTCTCGCGATGACTCTTAATCGTGTTTTCAAATTGATTTCATGCAAAAACAATTGTGTTTTTCAAATTTTTGGCGCTGTCAGAACCACCGCAAGGTAATTTTACATAGTCCTGTGAAGTTTTTTTGAAATCGGTTGAAAAATGTAGGAAATCCGATCCAATATATAAACGAACACACACACACACACACACACACACACACACACACACACACACACACACACACACACAACACAAAACCTGGGTTTTATAATAAGTATGATTATTTTATTTGAATTTGATAAATAATTTATCTTTTTATTTATTTTAAATCATGGAAAGTTTTGATTTAACCGTTTCCTTTTAATTTTTAAAAATGTTTATGGTCATAAATAAATATATCGAACTATGTTAATTTTCTTTTTACCATTTGTTCCCCAATACAAGACCCAAGAGCCACTTAAGGTTGAAGGTTACTGATTGAGGTTGTTGTATGAGTGTAAGAAAAGAAGTGTAGTTTATGAGGATATGTAGGGTAGATATACGGCTAACCGTAGACTTGAAGAGTTTTAGAGTGTAGCGATCGGGGAAGCATCCTCTTGGGAGTCTGTAACGGCTCTTGGGAAGAAGCTGTCCGAATGGAATTTCCTTTTTACTAATGGAAAATAAAAGGACGGGTATGCAGGTGTTAGAGGGTTACTGATCGGGGTTGTTCTATGAGCGTAGAAGAAGAAGAAGAAGAAGAAGAAGAAGAAGAAGAAGAAGAAGAAGAAGACAGTGTAAAAAGAAAAAAGAAAAAAACTAGGAAGAAAGAGGGGAAATAAGAGAGAAGAATTAAAAGAAATAAGCAGAAGAAGAAGAAGAAGAAGAAGAAGAAGAAGAAAGGTGACGGCCATTGTCAAAAAAGGAAGAAAAATGGAAGAAGGAGAAGAAGAAAGAGTTATTTTCCAGATTTATTAAACTCAGCTTATGTTACAACAGTTTTCTAACTTGAAGGATCCAACCATGAAAATCAGCTTTCGTAATCCTAATGTTTCTACCTTGTTACGAATACTGATTTTATCCAAAAAGGAAAAAAAGAAAAAAGAAAAAAAAGAAAAGAAAAAAGGTGCTGTTATTTCGGGAATCAACTAATATCT